ATACACCGAGCCTTTGAATCATAGCCCTCCAGACTGACATCCCGCTCCCCAGATCCGGCTCTTAAAAGGCCTCTTCGCCCAGCGCCGCACATCCCGCCTCCGCTTAACGACCACTCCCGGCCCCTCTACACTCTTCCAACCCCTCATAACCTCCTCCCGCTCCGGGTTCCTCGAATGCGACTACAATTTGCACAAATCCAACTCGACCTACTTCTCCGACTTTGACGTCGGGCGACTCGAGCTCTTAGTATCCCTCTGCTCACATGGTTTAGACAAGACGAGGAAGGAGCTTGCACTGGAAGAGAAAGAGGGAAGAGGTGATGGAGCAATGGGAAAGGGGAGATTTGACATCAGATTAGGTGGTGTGAGCTGTCAATTTAGAAAGGAGATCAAGCCGTATGAGAAGTTCGAAGTGTGGACTCGGGTGCTTTGTTGGGATCGAAAGTGGTTTTATGTAATCTCGCATTTCGTTAAGCCCGGGGTTTTCAGGCCGAAGAGTTATATGCTGCAGCCTTGGCGGAACGGAAGACGGCAGAAAGATCACGACGCAGAAATTGATGGAATTGTTGCCAATGGAAACACAACACCGTCACCACATCCCGCCATCTTCGCCACCGGCATCGCCAAATACGTCTTGAAAAAAGGCCGCCTGACCATCCCCCCCGAACGCGTATTCAGAGCCTCCGAGCTCCTGCCTCCAAAACCCGCAGACTACCAAATTCCTTCCGCCACTCCAACGTCGACTCCAGAGTCGACGTCGAACACTGCTGCGGCTGTATCGATTGTCGATCACATAACGCCTGGAAACACGGAGGATGTGGTAGTTGCGAGCTTGAAGGCTGGTGTTGGAAATGAGGATGGGGAGTGGACGTGGGAGAAGGTGGAAGAGGAGAGGAAGAGGGGGATGAAGATTGCGGAGATGTGGGGGGCGTTGGATGGGTTGAATGAGGAGTTTGCGGGTGACGGAGGGGTGGTTCTGGGACGGTATTGATTGCATAGATTTAGATCCGACATCATGGTAACTCTATAATCTTCGGATTTTCTGCTTTTAAACGTTGACATAAACTGAGGTGCACGACTATGTATATATATATATTGGATTTCCTACAATCGCCATTTATCTTGCATTCACGTTTCCTCAATGTCTTCCGAGCTCCTTCACCACCGACGAGATATGTCAAGCGCTGCTGAATAAGATCCCGCATCAAACCTCCCAGAGACTCGAGAGCGCGACCCGACGATGCATATGAGAAAAGATCGGCTTGCGAGATCACACTTTGCCTCCTTCCCTTTTTCCGCTCACCCAACAGATCCTGTCCACTCGCAGAGGCGATCCTCCCCTGAGCATAGTCGTGTACGCCTTTGCCGTCAAGAACTGCGGCGCGGAAAACACCCACCGTCTCTTCACGTACCTATCGACTCGGGCTCGGCCCCCGCCGCCGGAGACCGTCCCGGTCGAGCGTTTTTCTGCGATCGACCGTTCGGCGGGATTTTCGGCCATGATATTGTCTCTTGCATTGCTCCTCCTCTTTTCCTCGTCTGAATGAGATTCCGATGGTTGAGCGCATCGCTGTCCGGTGGATGTGGGACCCAGGCTGCTGATCCACGCGCATTTTGCTGCTTCGGTCAAATCTCCAGACTCCCCCATTGACTACGGTCGATGGGTCATCGAAGGCAGTGAAGCCTGGCGTGGCGGGCATCACGCACGGATTGCGGGGGAGATCGAGCATGCGTTTGCATCCCGTCGGGGTAAAAACCGACCCGCCGGATTTGATATCGACTTTCCTTCCCTCGCTTCGCATATCTCGTTCGAGTCCGCGAAATTGTGTGTGCAGGGTCCGTTGAGCATCACCGCACGTGATAGATCGAGACTTGGGATGTGGGATGTGAAGGGGTCGTGTGGCACGACAACAATGATATGGATGTCTAGTCATTCGTCGACTCGACGCTCGTGCTACCCCGGACGCCTTCACATGAGTAATGACGATTAGCTCTCGCCAGTCGCTAGCTCTAGACTCCGTATACCCCGGGGTCTTCGCCGTCCTCGAGCTCCGTACTGGGTTTCTTGGCTGATTGCATCTGATTGGATGTCGAGGTTGTGGCTGTCGATGGATGGAAGGATAGAGCATTATTTCCACCTGGCTCGTTCGTGAGCTTGAAAGCGTCGACCAGCGTTCGATGTATGGTTCGCTTGATCACTGGGGAAGAGTACAGAGTTGCTGGATTGCTTTGTAATCGCCTTGCCGTCCTACAGTTCCCGGCGCCCATGAGGTAGCTTTGCGATCTAGGCGAGGTGGATGTGATGCTAATTTCCAAGAATGCTTTGAGTGAGGATATTTGACGCTGTGTGTTCATTGGAGAGGGGTCGTCTAGTATGTTTGGAGACGACGAGTTAAGAGAGGCTGCGACTAAGCGAGGGTTGGGATAGATTGAAGTATGTCTATCTCCTCGATTTGAACCTCGAGCTGTTCGCTATCAGTAGCGCGGGAGAGTCAACGACTGCTTGTCTTCGGACTCGAAGCGACAGGCTTGGACGGCGTGTCCTCCTAGACACTTAGGACTGAAAGATACCGCAAGACAGACAAGAAACCTTTCATGCCCAGGAGAGATGGCAGCGCCGCCAACAGCCCCATGTTTGACATTAGAGTAAGGCCTGCAGAGTTGACTGTGCCTTTGAGGTCTTTGAACTTATCAACGTATGGGAGTTCTAATAAGCATTAGCTATTGGAGTTGTCTTCATACTAGGCTAGGCTGTTTCGCTGGTGGCCCTTTTTGGTAGAAGTCGCGATGCTTCAGATTTTCGAGCGCTGTGAGGGATCCGTGCCGTTCGGAGTTCATGATCTCGGGTGCAGGACAAGGGGAAATTCTAGGAGCCGGGAAAACAACGCGTGTGCCTGTTGTTGAAAGAATACTAAATCGATGTCCTTTTTTCATCGTCCAATATGTTCGTGTTCAAATATGATATGAGGGCTGTGTGTTTCTCAACGGGAGCAATTGGAGGTATGGAGTTTACAGTAATCTTTCGCGTTGGTCTGATTCGATGCATTTAGATGATAGTGGCGACTATGAGGACTAGATGCAACTTGGCACGTTCATCGCTACTGTCTTCCCTCCGCGGTGCCCCCATTCATCTTTTTCGGATACAACATCATTCATGAATCTACGTTCCTCGTTAAAGGATTTCTTCGAATGTCAAAGATCTATATTGTTACGAGCTTCCCTTTCCAAGACCGATCCTCACTCAAGCTGATACTCCGGTCGGCCGTTTCAGAACAGAAGCTGACGTCCCATGGCGGCGCAGCGGGAGCATCTCGCAGCCTCACAGCCCCTAAATGGAATCGCAATACTCAACGAAGGATGCCGCACTGTATCCAGCTGCGGATCCTGGGAATCCCAATGCGCTGCGTATCCTCCCCCAAAAACAGGGCACTCCCTATGATTTCCTACAGATCCTCATATCAGCGGTCGAAGGCTCATGATGACTTGACATGCAACGTGCTATTACCCCGACAAGAGCATAGCAACCGGCTTCGAGCTCTGCAACTCCACCCTTGCGGGCCCTGACAGCGCGGGCAGCGCTTGCTGCACTGCGGCTGACATTTGCACCACCGGCGGTTACTGCTTGAACAATCAGTACTATCCGTATCGAGGCGCTTGTACGGACAAGTCGTGGAATTCGGGTAATTGCGCCAGCGACTGCCTGGATGGTGAGTCACTTCCATCCGTTCTGTAAATCTCGGGCGGCATCGAACAGGAACTGGTGATGGCATGGCAATAATGTTCGGTCAAGCTGATCGCTGTTTCCCTTATCCTAGCGGTCCCCTTCAGATCGGTCGCGGCAGTCCCCTGTGGCGGTTCTGGTAATTACAACGGCGAGTTCTGCTGCTCGCTGGAGCAGACCACCAGCTGCTGCAATGCGACCTTCGGCAACGTTTTCGGAAGGCCGTATGCGCCCGTCACCTTGGCGGCGTCAACGGTCAACGGCACCAACGGCACGAGTACTACTGCAGTCACCACGGTGACTGCGAAACCCGCCGGGCATTCGAATTCTGACGCGACCAAGGTTGGGGTGGGAGTTGGGGTTCCGCTGGGTCTGTTGCTCCTGCTGAGTCTGGTTTTTGCGGCGTGGACTGAGCGGAGGCGGAGGAGAGATCTGGAGAGATTGGCAAGAGAGACAGGTTGGTCTGGTGGGCAGTGGGATCATGAGAAATCGCACGTAGGATCGTAGGCATATGGTAGGAAAGCTTTACGGCATGATGCTGGAGGCGGGAAAGGAACGATGGCGGAGCTGGCTGATGAGGAAGTTTATGAGGCGGGAGGAATGTTCTGATGAGACCGACCGATGGTCGGCCGTGTGGGAATGGCTTGGCGTTATGCAATCTCTTCATGTGATTCTCCTTTATTGCACGTCTGACAAGCAGACGTAAGTAGATATGTGAGAAGTTCGCAAGGACGGGTTCACTGCCTCTTTCGTGCTCGCAAATTGCAGCTGGTCATACAATACCATCTCGTTCTTCTGTCAACAGTCATCTGTTCCTCCAAGTCTCATCTCACCTTGGCTCAAGTGAGACCATGAGACACCGTATGGTACAGGACTGTCAAAACCCAAATAAAAAACATTTTCTAAGGAGGCTGACATGTCAAAGGGTTGACAGAAGGAGGCAGTTCCATTTTCGAATGTCGCATATATCCCAAAGGTCGAGCTGTACAGAGCATAGACTACCACGACATCATGCGCGCCTTTGCCTAAGAATGCCTTGTGTCATGCCAAAGGAAATTGCTAGCGCAAGGCTGTGGTAAAAGGCTGTACGCTTAGCCAGTAGGATTGCAGCGCGCGATGGCGCATAGAGTATACGCTCGAGCCATCATTTCGTCGATTGGTGAGACTAAAGCGATTCGTGAAGAGTGGCTGATGCATCGGGTACGTCATGTCTTAGTGTATGGACATGGCTCTGAGTATTTGTCTCTGTTCTTCGTCGCGAGATGAATCCTACGGCAACATGAAACCGCCTCAGCAAAAGAAGTCCCCTTTCATCCACTTACTCTTCTGTTTGATCAAGGCACGTACGGGTAGTCGTTGACTGGTGTTGTCTTTTTCTAAGTCCTGGGATTCGACATTCACCATGTGCTTTTACGATCAGTACCAGTTCGATTGCGGAGATTTCAAGTTCGGCCATTTCAGACGTCGTTGCAGTCGCTTTTGTCCGCGTGGAAGATCTTGCGGCTTGAAAACAGCCTACGAGGTCTTTCAACTGCAGAAGAAGTGTAGTCTCTGCGACAAGATAACGACAAATCGCCACGGGCAACAGCAGGAATGGGATCGCATAGAATGTTTGGAAAGCAAGGAGCAGGCTGATGACAAAGGGGTACAACGATCGATCGACATCATCAATCAACTGCAGCAAGAAATCCTTAAACTTGAAATGGAGAGGCGTGGACGGCAGATCACGACACCTGGCTATGATCTTGAGAATACTGGAAGTGCCAGTCTTGGGCCCACAGCTGAGAGCGCGGACCTGGTCGCCACCACTACCGCAAGCATCGCCACCAAATCTAGTCCTTCGCCGCCATCGGACAAGCTAGAAGACAACATTGAAGGGGACCCTTCTCTGCCGAGAGCGTCGCCGTCTGCGACAAGAGCGAGTGATGCCTTACAGCTCGCAGAATGGAAAGCCTGCCCACTCAGTCTCCTTCGGGAAAGCAACTCGAAAGAGAATTGTACACGAAGAAGTACCCTGGCGAGATCGCAGAGCAGTTCCGCAATCGACTCATGGATGAGCGCGGGGCCTCCCAAAATTCAGCTTCCATCAAATATAAGTGCAACCACACAGGCGTCGAGAACCTTCCCGCGGTTTCAGCTTCAAGTTTTGATTATGAGATACCATTTCCTCGACACAATTTCCCTCATGAAGCCAGACGTGATCAAGAGCCGTATGGACAGCATTTGCGCTAAAGCGCCAACTGGATCAATGATGGATGATTTGGCGTCCGTTCATACAAGGACCCCCAGACCATGGTTGGCAATACGCCGAATGTCGCAAGATCTCGGTACCAGCGTACTGCACACCATACTGAGCATGCTGTCGGATGCCCTGATGCGCACGAGCAACATCTCACACGCTAAACCAAGCGAATTTGCACTGACCGCCGGCGAACGAAAGCTTCTAGAGGGACCATTCTATGACTGCATCTATGCGAGAAAGCTTGTCATGGTCTTCCTCCGTGATAATGTCCGAGCCTTTATTGATGGATCCACATTTCCGAATGCTCAACCTGTTCTCATAACGAAACCTCAGTAACTGAACATAATTACCGTCAAAGGTGCCGATTGTATCGAAAGAAAGGCAATATCAGCAGAGAAAAGAAGTTCAACAGGTCCTTTGGCCGCTCGCTTAGTTCAAGCCTTTACTTTTTTCTCGCTTGAAGTTTTTGGTGAGCTTGTGAAGACTATACCTTACAGAACCTGCTAATGTTGGCCAAGGAAGTTTGTCAACGATCACCCTGTGCCATCTGTATAGAATACTACAGTGGGTTCTTCGCCAGAGTCGATGGCAGTCAATTTCAGCAGCTGTTCCTTCGTTGAGAGAGTGCCAAGGCTCGAAAGACCAATCTAGCATCGATGAATGGATTTCAAGACCCTTCCCCGGGTTCTGGACTTGCAAAAGCGGCTTCGTTCTTTGGCGATCTCCATGTTATGGTACCAAAGCTCAGACCGATGTCAGGGCTTTCTGCCTGTCGTCTATCGATGACACTGTTCTCGGCAATCTCACCAGAGTCTATTGGCATGCTCTCTGCAGACCATCTCTCCTGCCTCGACAGTGCCAGGCGGGAATTCTGCCCAAAATCCGTCTAGGTCGTACTGAATGCCGGAAATGCCACGATGCCACTCTGAGAGTGTCCAACCTGAAAGGCAATCATAAAAGGCTGCTGAGTCTTCTGATTGACCAGCCATGCGTAACAGGAAGCTCGAGGCGAAATCTGGTCTTACGGAATCTTGAGACTCTCAAATCAACAAGAGTATTATGTTGGAACTCGAGAGCTGAAAGATCTACCAGCCTTGACGAGCCCCGCGACGAAAACCGGACTAGGCATCACGAGTCCAACGATGTTGTGGGAGACAAGCCACATAAACTGAACCAAGGACGCAAGAGAGCCTTGGATAGCGCCAATCAAATTCACCCCTGCATCACTTCCGGCGTCAACAGTGATACGCCTAACCTTTTATTCCCTCGGTGACGGTGTTCAGCACGATGAAGGCCATGCTTCTGAAAAGCCTCCGAGTTGTGGGTCTGAGTGAGCCATTACTAGAAAGAGGCAAATGTCGCGTGCGATGGAAATGCGTAAGCAATCCTTGGTAGTCCAAACTGATTAGTTTTTGTACTGATCAAGTCTAACAGCGTTGCGGCCGTCGCATGTTTGACGACTTTATAGAGCGACGGCCTGGCGCTGCCAGAGACCTTGAAAAGCGGTTGAATAAGAAGGCTGCAACCGGCTCTGGACCCAGCCAAGATCAAAGGTCGGCCGCAAACTCCCGAGCAAAAAGTCCACCAACCACTGTCAGTGCCCAAAGCCCGCGTTCGTGGGATAACGATATATCATTGGAGACTCCATCTCGATCCTATGAGCCATGTTTACGGGGCAGAGCCGACGATTCAATATCCATAGATTGCGATCCGGAACGCCACTGGCTGCTAGTCTGTGCGAGATCAAAGGAGCGGCCCACGAGTCTTACGCAACTAGACCTCTGTTGCACCTCATCTGACAAGGAGCTCTTCCAGGATCTCAAGCAAACTTATGTGAGACTGAAAAGCAAATGGGCCCGGGTATTTTCATTCAAAAAGGTCCAGAGTATCCGTTTCGTTCAGGTAAGCCAATAAAAACACGCCTAAAGAGGTCTCGCTTATGCAAAGGGTCAGTTTGAACTGCACATCAAAGATCTCGTAGACATCCGCAAGGTACCCGACATGCCCCCGGAGACGAGAAAACATGAATACCTCTACCAACCTTGCGACCTGGTCCCTCCCGTAGGCGAAAATCTGATGGCGCATCTCTTCCACCACCCCGAGGATGCGAATGAGAGGTCGATAACATGTCTCCGAGCGCCGAAAAAGCGCAAAGCCAAGCTTTCAGTTTGTCCACAGCAAGGCACCAGCGTGGGATGGGGAATCCACCTCGTCGAAGGCTGGGTCGTCGCACGAGTCTGGCTTCTCATCCTCATCTTGTTCATCTTCGGGAGCCTTGCTTTTGGCATATGCTGGGCTGCACTGCAACACGATGTTCAAACAGCTTTTGCCGTCTCGGCGTATATTGTGTCTCTCGGTGGCCTTGTCGCTGGGACTATGCAGGCTTTTATGGCATGAGGCTAGCGACGGCGTCCTGGTGCAACAGCGCAGTCAGGCCGTGGGGATATGCCAGGACATACAGCTCTTCAAATTCGACCGAGATGTTGATGTCTTCGTCATCGATCGGGATTCATAATATTGTAGTGGATTCACGGCTGCGGATGCTAGGTAGTTCCGAAAGCGTAAAATCTGACTTGAGTGTCCAAGGAAAAGGAAGGGTATTTTGCTAAGCGATGTAAGATGGGAAAACTTTAAAGAATCATTTGGCCAATCAGCTGTCTGTTTGCCTTCAAACATGCTGTTTCATCTTAGGCTGTTAAGAACACCGGCATCGCTGACTTGGGCTATGGAAGTTTTTCAGTGTCTAAGTACACGTGTCTGATGTTAGTCATGGTGTGGTGTTTTCAGAAAGGTACGGCTGTGTAGCCCTTGCGGACGATGATACAAATACGACTCAGAATTAAACAAGTCACATCATGTTGGCAACTTTGAGGGAGTACGCCATTGTCTGTTGCATTAAGAGGTGTACGTGAGCTGCAGGTATGGAACAACAGATGTTGGAAAAGGCGGTTGGCGTGGGAACATGGAGGCCGCCCGATGGAGTGTGAGCAATATTACGGGCGGTGTGGATATAATTGGTGTCATCGCACACTGAACGAGAACAAGACTCCTTGTGCATCGCAAGCTTTTGGTATATCCCAAAAGACATTGTTTGGCGCGTCGTCCCCAGTGAACACATGAATTTCAGATAGCTGCGGTAGCAGCACGTCCTTTACTTCCAAGGTGCTTAGTATTGCTTCACGGATTTGCTCTAACGTTCTGGATACATCTACGTCGCGCATGGAAGGCATGAAAGGCCAGGTTAGAGGCCTTAGACGGACGATCCGGATCGAAGGCGGCAGCATCTCGGGAAAGCCTCGGACACTGGAGTCAGGATCGTTGAAGAACAGAGCCAGCTCGGTGTCGATCTCTCGCAGCACTTTGAACTCGCGAAGACTACAGCTCTCAGTATATGCAGTGCCTTGGGGCAGCAAGATCAACTTCTCAAGGCTTTGCTTAGCGTGGTGCAACAGGCCGACGCCGAGCCAGTACCAGTCCGGCAGTTGCCGTGTAGAAAGGGAATCCGATCTGAGGGAGGTAAGGGTGAAAGATCTGAGATTCTTAGTACACCCAAGTACCTCAAAAAGCGCCTTTTCGCCAATATTACAATGAATGAAAGCGAGGTCGACGATATTTAGTTCATGCGGGCGCAGGTGCCATTCGAAATCGCGCTCCTCATTGCCAATCGTTAAACCTTCTATACAACATGAGGCCAGGGAAGGTAGTGATATAAAGGAGTCGAAAATCTTCATCAAGTCAGGATCCTCCCAATCCGTGTCAATATTGATCGAGACATGCTTCAAATGGGAGAGGTATGTGCCTGCAGGTGCATTTTTGATCCTTTGAGTTGTTCTCGAAAGATATTCTATGGGCATTCCAATTGAAGATATCTCGAGATCCTCCAAGTTGGGTAGCTGGAGTAAAAGCAGAGCGAGGATTGGATGATCCTCGGTAGAGTGTTGAATGGCCTGCAGCCACTCATCTACCTCGTCTGCCCGAATGATCTGCGTTTTCTGCAGTGCGGTCCTGACGAGCTGCAAATTGTTCGAACGGCACCGAGATTTCTGGGACTTTGTAGACGCAGGACTTCGAGCATTGTCAGTTATGGCCTCCCACACAGGCCCCCAGCTGTCCACGGTCAGGCTGCGCACGTAGTGAGCGATTCGAGGTTTAGCGAGGATCTTGATTAGGAATCTAGCTAACGCAGGGTCTCGATCACCGAAATTATCGATGGATGAGAACCATTGTTTTAGTCTGCGGTGCTCTGCGAGAATCGGCGCCGCCAAGTAGGAGATAGATTTGGTGACGGCACATGCTGAACCGAGATCGCGAGGAGCGACATGCCGCAAGATCTCCAAGACGAGCTCTTTGCAAAGGTCAGAGAATCCTGCCATTTCGTTTCTGGGTAGGTGTGGTGGATGAAAGGAGAGAATGACTTCAAGAGGGAGAGTTTTTTTAACGAGTGAATACCAGCGCGTTGTATGGTGGGGCACCAGCTGAGTATATTTGAGCGCGTTAGGCCCCATCCGAATATCGGCGGCATTGAGCTTGATAACGGAGGCGGTCCTGGCCTTTCGTATCAGGAAAATGAACAATAGCAAACACTAAGTAGGAGACGTTGACTGTCAAGACTATAAGAATTTCACTGATCTTAAAGATACACCTACAGCAAGAGTATCAGATATCTGCTGATTCTCAATATGTGCCTCGTAACTCGGAAATACAGTCTCCGAGCGAGACGCCTTGTAAATGGAGATTACCTGCCTCCTTCTCCTTTTTATCTCCAGAAACAACGATAGGTTTTCTTGTCCCAGGCCCGAAAACGCAACTGGAACCGTCACACTGGCAATTTGCCTTGACAATGGCCACCGCTATCGTCTATTACGTAGAGCTCGACTTGTAAACCCCAGGATTCCGCGTCTGCATTTTGCAGCCTGACAAGCTCGATGGTCCCACCAGCTGCATTCGGAGCACTGTCTCGTTCGGGCTGGAAATCGATTTCATCTCTGCCGTTGGAAGTATTTTCGAGCATTCAGAAAATGTCCACGAATTTATTTCGCAGGTTGAGGAATGAGAGAGAATGAGGGAGATTGAGTGGACCAAGGAAAGCCAGGGCATCTCACGCACTATTGAGAGCCGTCTTTCTGTATATTACTCACCATCCTCCCAAGGAGAAGAGTTCTTAACGCAGGACTTTCATTTCCTTGGACACTGGAGGCACTGATCGAGTCGTTGAAAATACGAACGAACTGCGACATACGTTCCCGAACGTTTCCGACAAAAGCAAATCCTGACTTATCGTGTAGTGTTCACCTATCATGCGGTCAACGGCGCCATCTTTGCAATCTCACGAGGCATGGTAGTTATGATCGTACATCCGATCCTTGAAGACATCGAGATTTCGGTTTGAAAGGGAGCAGCGCTCCGTTGGTTCTACGCCCAAGATTTAGTGGGGGGCAATCCTGGATACCTCCCAAGCCACGAACCTCTTAATGGCTAGTTGACACTGCTATGTGGAGCATCCTGGACGAGGAAACAGTTGAGTCAAATGTCAAATGATGCCATCTCCGTCTTTATCAACGCTATTGCATTCGCGTATCTATTCAGGAATCCCACCAATGCGACTTCCACCGTTACTGGCAGCGCGCCTGCTAACCAGTCCACGTTCCTACCCACATGGCTACTGAACAAATGTAGTCCTATGTAAGTCGCCGTGTGGTCTGAGATTAAGGGAGGTTTCCCTATCTGCAACCGTACTCTAGAGTTGTGGTACAGGAGAATGCCTTCGTTCTTGATCATCCTTACAGCTCTAATTTGATCCATCAGACTCATCTTCGGAATCCGCGCCAATGTCAGAGATCCTCAGTCCAGATTCTTGCGCGTTCATACGAAACTTGATATCCTTCTCGCATCTAGGGCCATGGACAGTCAATCCCCAGCAGTGGATCTCATTGAGCCAATTGATCAGTTCCCGCACGCTGGATGTGTTCATACAGTCTCCATGATAAACCTCCGTCATCTTACAACCTGCCCATTCGAATTCCGGGGTCAGTACAGGTACGATGCACCAGATATCGAACTCCGATCCGGTCCAGGTAATGCCATAGTGTCTAAGGGTCTTTACAAGCGACTTCGTCCAACTCCTCCCTAGAATTCCAATGGTCTTCTTCCGCAGGATGAAGCGATTGTAGAGGACTAAAGCCGCAGCCCCGGCGACCTGGTTGAGCGCTGCCTGCTCCATTTCGTCGTCTTTTTTGAATTCAATTGTGAGGTATGGGCAGGTCATCCGTTTTTTGATTACGAAGACCATGCGTTGAAGTTGAGTCACATAATCTTGGTTGAAGGGTTGAAGAGATAACCAGAAAGCACAATCTGGACGGAGGTCGAATTCGTATTCTGTCGAATGATCGTGATTGTCGTTGGCTATGACTGGCGGCGGAACCCAATTCGATGACTGCTTTAGTATAGGTTTTGCGACGAGCTGGACCGTTCTCTCGGTTCTCCAGCAACGCTTCAGTGCCAGGTTCACGTTACGAGGTTCTGCCTTCAAGATTGTCCCAGCGGCGTAGAACGCGAATTCAGCCTCGCAAAAGCCGCTTTGGACCATGCAGACGTATTCCGCCACAATCCTGTTAACAAAGTCCTCATCATCCTCTAGCCATAGTGTTGAATCTTTGGCTCCCCTTTCTTTTATATAATGTTGAAAGCGATTTCCCGTCGGCTCTTTGACCCCGAAATGTATGTAGGCCTTGACGGAGATGCCCGATTCAATTGCGATTGAGCGGGGAACCAGAATCCGGGAATCAAAGTCTTTGTCGTAAGGTGAAGGTCGCTTTGGCCTCTTACTGGAAGTCGTTGATGCAGATTGAGAAACTGTTTGTGAACGCAGGGTACGCTCGCTACCTGCCATACTGACCTTTTCCCACAAAGTGGTAATACTTTCTGAATCGGTCTCCGTGAGGAAAGTCGGCTCTGGTTTGAAAGATCTTGCGTCCTTCGCCGTCCAGTCCTTGTAGTAGGTGTCTCTCCCACGATCAAGGCTCGATGTGCTGTAGGCTACCACCTTGCGCCGTTTCTGACTAGGCTTGCGCTCTAATTGAGGATGATCTGAAAGAGAGAATGGGGTGCAGAAGATAGGCTGCAAAGTGTTGGGGAATTTATGTTGCTCGTAGATGTGTTCAACGAAGTGTGTCGTGCTATCTGAAGGATTTGACCTCATGCACAGCGTGTCTAAAGAGGGGCTCTGCATGTTTAGTGCGACTTTGGTGAAAATAGATACTGAGCAGTGTGGCGATGGATTTCAACGCGCGCTGCTGCTTTTCTGATGTCGTAATGTACTGTAGCAATCACCGCAGGGGACTCGGGGAGCTTTAGTCAGAAATGACGTTTGTTGTTGTCGTTGCCCGGCCAAAGTGCCA